TATCCGGATATCCGCGGGTATCCGCGGATACGGACGGATATGGATAGTGTTTTTTTAAAAATCGGACGGATACGGATGGATACGGATATGATGCTCCAAATCCGCGGATATCCGTCCCTAATTTTGCCAAGAGAAAATAATTATATTCCCAACGCCAGGAGATAATTGATTCTCGCGCATGACCCCTAACCCCGACCCATAAGTCAACAACGACCCCGGACCACGACATGCCCTGACCGGCAAACGCTGATCCCCAACGATCCCGAACCCGAAGGCTCGGGGAGTCCTACTCTGCGAAAATTTTTAGAATTTTAAAAGCCAAGAAACCAGATTTCATCCCTTTCCAGCGCTGCAGGCGAAAATTTAGAGAATTTTATAAGGCCATAAGCCGAAAAAATTAACTTTTAGTTGAGCAAACAAAAATTCCTGAATTTTGGAGGTCCAAAAACCTATACCAGGCTCATAACCAGGGAGGGAGGGAGGGGAATTGCCCACCCCCCTCTAGAAATGGGGAATACTGATAAATTTAATGAGGAGATTGGGCAAAAAAGTGAATTTTTTTGGCCTATGGCCTTCTAAAATTATCAAAATTTTCGCCTGCGGCGCTAAAAATGAAAGATTTTTTGCTGCATGGTCTTCCAAAATTCTCAAAATTTTCGCCTGCGGCGCTGAAATCAACTGGTCAGTTAACCGAGATTTTCATTTTGGCCCGAAATCGGGAATTTAAATTTTCAAAAATTCTCAAAAATTTTCAGAATTGTATTTTTTGTCGGTATGATCCCTGATATGCAGCGTTCGATCGGAATTCCTATCTCTGCCTTCCGATTTTCGAACCTCCGATGTTCATAAGCAAGGTTCGTTTTGTTGCATGCAGTTATTACAGCATTATCTAACCATTACTCGAATTAAAATAAATTTGACCATTTTGAAAATTTTAGCCAGTCTGACCATTTTGAGAAAAAACGGATATATCCGCGGATATCCGCGGATGGATATGCCTAAAAACTTAGACGGATACAAACGGATACGGATATTGACCTCACGGATATATCCGGATACGGATAGCAAAATCCGTATCCATGCACCAGTCTGCTTGGAACTAGTTCCAGAACTGGAACTAAGGAATTTCAAAAATGGAGTTCCGGAACTGGAACTGGAACTACAAAAATTAAAAACCTGGTTCCGGAACTGGAACTACTAAAATTAAAAACCTAGTTCTGGAACTGGAACTAGTTCCAGAGAAATTTTGGAACTTTGACATCACTGATTCCAGTGCTCCACATATTCGGCGTCGGCCATATTCCTATTGTTCGCTCCTATTGTAATTAGTATTGTAGATAAAGCACAGTTGTTAGATACTGTCTTATCTTGTGTTTATTCTTGTTAGTACGTAGACATACGAGTCACGTACATAACAATAATTCTATTTTTTATTTTATTCACAACTCTAGGAAAATTGAAGTAGTATGTATTCAATATAAATTTGGTTCAATGCTAGAAAAGATAAATCTTCCGAAGTTCTGAAAGCCCAATGTACCGTCCAATGTACCGCCGCACATTGTACCGCAAACCCATGTACCGCTCGTCCATTGTGACCAGACAATTCTGCAAATCAATATGAAAATATTTGTTCAAGAAAAACTTGAACAAAAATTATTGTTCCAACAATGGGAGATGCTGTATTTAAAATAGAAATTTGTTCTTTCAACAAAGGGGGAGGGGGGGGGATTGTTTCAACATTGAAAATAGTTGTTCCAACGCGGGAGAAAGTTGTTTCACTGATGGGAGAATTTGATCTGTTACGGGAAATTTGTTCCGTGAACATTGAATAAAGTGGTGTCCGGAAAAATGGGCTCTGGAAAATTGGGCTCCAGCGGAATTTTGGGCTCTAAGTGAGAAAAACGGAAAATTGGGCTCCAAATTTTTAGGCGCGGGGAATTTGGGCGTCGGAGTTAATTTCTTGATTTATTCGAGAAATATCACAAAATTCTCTTGAGTGCTGATAATTAGTGGGTAAGTCGGCATTTCAAAGCTGAAAATTAGTAGAAAGGGATAGGTTTATGTTACTGGTGTAGAACCCAGCGACCGTTGACTCCCGCGAGGCGCGTGCCGCAAAATCCCGCGCAAAGCGCGGGATTTTGCGGCACGCGCCTCGCCGACGCCCATAGGTTTACGAAGTTTGATTTTGTGTTATTTTTCGAATAAATCAAGAAATTAACTCCGACGCCCAAATTCCCCGCGCCTAAAAATCTAGAGCCCAATTTTCCGTTTTTCTCACTTAGAGCCCAAAATTCCGCTGGAGCCCAATTTTCCGAAAAATCTTGGAGCCCAATTTTCCAGAGCCCATTTTTCCGGCACCCGAATAAAGTGGTTTCAAGAATGGGGAATCATGTTCCAAGTATGTGAATGTTGTTCAAACTACGAGGGAAATTGTTCCAACAAAATGTTTTTTGATTTATGTCTATAAAAATAAAAAAAATTCGGTGGGAGTACAATGAGTGTGCGGTCTCGCGATACATTAGACGGGAGTAATCATATTAATGAATAAAATTTAATTAATTGGTGCACATGTTCTTAGAGTGAATAAAATAAAAGAAAGAATTACTAATTTTTATTGGCATTGAAGAAAGCTATGTATAAGGAATCAGTTTGTCCTAATTTGCCGCATCTGATAAATAAATAATTATACAAATAGTTTGATGAATGGAAAGGTAATGTCACAACACAGTTGGCAGTGCTTGCACATAACATCACTCAATTAGTTAATTGGACAAAGGAAATTGAAAAAAAAGTTGAAAATATTTCGAAAGAGATTGAAATTGGGGATTATTGTAGTTATGATATTAACATGTCAGATGGTTCGATTTTTCTTTTAAAATCTTTAAGATGCTTACTAAAAATTATTTTTTGGCTAGAATTATTCAAGATCTGTTAAATATAAAGATAAACGGATATAAATAAATTACTGTATTTCCTAAAATAATACTCCCAAGAGTACTATTTTTCAACCCTTCTCCAAAGGAAAGTACTATTTAGAGGGGGGGGGTACTGATTCAGGAGGGAGTACCATTTTTTAACCTTCCTCCATGATTTATCTTAGAAAAATTTGTTTCAAAATCTTAAATGCTAAATCAATTAGAGTTCGTAATTTGAAAACTGCTGGATCCAAACCTGGATTTTTTAAAAATTTTTTTTATAAATATTCGCATAAAATATCAAAATTATTATAAAATTGAGCAAATGGCAAGACATTTAAACATAAGTAACTTAAAATAAGGATTATTGAGGCATATCAAGAAGTATATCAGTGGATTTGGAGTGACAACAAGGGATATAAGAGGATACAAGGGATATAAGGGGTATCGTTGAATTAAGGTGGATATCGAAAAATTGATAGGGATTAAAAAGAATATTAACGCTGGTGGATTGGTAGGGATGTCAGGGAATTTGGGGACTAAAAGCGAGGGGATAAAGCTGGATATTGTGGCGTTTGATGGGAATAAATCTCAGTGTAGAGATTTATCAGCATTAATAACCAATATCCTCCACATCCCTTTTGTTCTTCCGGTATCGCTTCGAATCTTATGATATCCGGACTTGGCTTGATAAAAGGGATCAAAGGATGTATGTTAAATATCAGTGATTTTGATACCTGAGGATTTTCGGAATAGAGGTAGTGAAGAAATACGGTGTATTGAGTTTTATATCTTGATTCAATTTTATATATGATTCAATTTTATATCTTGATCACTCTTAATCAGCCAAAATCATCTAATATTACTCATCCGTCATTATTCTCTCAAATTTCTTTATTAAACCCTAATCCAATAATATCTTTAATTCACCTTGATCAATTCAAACCCCTTTATCACCCGAAATGATAAGGGGGTTTGAATAATAATCCCAAGGGAGTATTATTATAGTATTATAATACTCAGTATTATAATACTCCCATTATATAGTATTATAATAACTCCCAAGGGAGTATTATTTAAGGGGGGAGTACTAATTCAGGGGAAGTACTATTTCAGGAAATACGGTATATAAACAATAAAATGCCACTTAACAAAAGCTTCTACGTCTAATACACTCCAAAATACCGCCGAGATATAACTTCGTTCAAAATTGTCGAATCCGAGACTTTCTGGTATGTTGCGATCAGACGTTTCGTTTTGTTAACGAAACACCGATGTTTCGTTAACAGAAAATTACCTATTTTTAAGCCAAAATATTACCCAAAAACAAAAAATTTCCCATTTGGCGATGGCAATTCAAAAAATTTTTGCCTGCGGCACTGAAAAAGAAAGAAATCTCGCTTAAGGACCTCCAAAATTCTCAAAATTTAATGGTAGAAGTCATCCTCCATGACCTTCCAAAATTCTCAAAATTTTCGCCTTCGGCGCTGTAAAAAGAAATATGTGGTATATCTGTGCATTTGCATAGATTAAGGTGGTAATATCGGGAAGAATTAAAAGAGAGATTATTAGAGAGGTTAAAGGGAATATAACTACCCCAACAAATGGCTAACCACGACAAATGGCTAATGGGACCACAATTTGTGGTCCCACATATTTATATAATAACATATATGTCATTAGTGCCCATTAACATGATTAAAATTGAATAATTAATAAAATAATTAATTTTTTTGAGATTTTTTTGGAAATTAAGATGTTTCGTTTTATTTCGTTTCGTTAAATTTTGACTGTTTCGTTTTGTTTTGTTAACGAAACGATTTTTTAAAACTTTTGTTTCGTTTCGTCCGAAAATAATTTGGAGTTTCGCCCAGGTCTGGTTGCGATTCAGCTCGTCAAGGTGCATCGAACAATACCAGGACACCCCAGATTCGACAATTCTGAACGACGTTACAGCTCTGCGGTACATTAGGCTTGCGGCACCTTGGGGTGTACCCATCTAATACACTGTCTAAGCATTATTTTTTAAATAGATAAAAATAACTGTCCTTTTAACCCAAGTTGTTTTTACAATAAATTATTTAATTTTTATTTGATCTTGATTTTTAGAATTTACGAGACAAGCGTTAAAATTCGGTACGGTTAAACTTGCTAAAATGGGCTCAGCGGCTCTCGGGGGTTTACCATTTGTTGGAGATTTTCTTGCTGAAGGGGCCGACACCATAGCGGAGATTGGAGTCAAATTAGCAGAGAAGGCATGCAGAGATGCGAAAAGAGCCGGTTCTGTGTGGTACTTTGATGGATCAGATTTCGAGAAAATGGGTTCTACAATTAAAGAAACAATGGATAAATTAATTGGTTAATTTGTAAATATTCATTGAATTATACTAAAAAATTATTTTATATATATCCAAATTATATATTTTTTTAATCTTTAAAAATGATAAAATTAAATAACATTAATTAGATTACAAATTTTAAATTTATGTTGTACATAATTTAGAAAAAATCCTATCCAATTCTAGCAAAAGCCTTCAATATTTTAAAAGGTTTTTAAGTTTCTCCTATTAAGTAACATTATTTTTAAAAATTAAACCGTAAATATCAGCATCTTTTAAATAGAGAGAAAAACTTGTGATCATACTTTTAGTAAAAAAAGTTAAAGACTTTAAGAAATAAAAATCTTAAAAAACTACATATGCAAAATTAGAAAAATCGTTTGAAAAATGTGACATAATCGAAATAATGTCAAAAATGCGGCGCTGAAAATGGAAGAAGTATGCAGTAAAAAACTCAGCTCGACGGATTCTATAAATTAAGACAAACTGACCATTTTTTAATACTTTTAGGAAGGAAAAAGGAGAGTGGGGGGGGGGGGGGGAGGGGGTACGAACCAAACTTTTACCTAATTCTATTAAAAATTTGATCTGTTCTTTAAAATAAGAATTCTGTTCAAAAATTTGATAGCAGACATAAATCTAAAAAACCCTTGTTTTCAATTAGTGTTGCGCCCGACCCTGTACCCCGAACCACGTTGCAGAAAGATTATTCTGAGATTATCCCCGACCCGGATCTCGCCCAAAAAATTAAAACCCCGTCCGCCGACCCGAAAATTTTTGAGGTTTTCGGGGTATACTAGACATAAAATGCCAGTTTTTATGGGAATGGATGGAAGATGCAATAAAACCATCATAGTAAGGGTAAATTCAATTTCGTACCCCCCTCCTTTTTCCTTCCTCAATGAATTACAAAATGGTCAGTCAAACTTAAGTTATAGAACTCGTCGAGTCGTGTCGCATGACACCAAAATCGAAAAATCGGACCTGATTTGACCGAGATACAGACCCCTGAAAATTGAACAACCATAGGAGTGATTTTTTGGAATAAAAAAATTTGGCTCTATTACACAATATACGTCCAATCAACTATTATGCGTCCAATCAGCTTTTATACGTCCAATCAAATTTTATACGTCCAATGAAAGTTTATGCGTCCAATTAAAAGTTTATGCGTCCAATCGAACTTGTACGTCAAATCACATTTTTAACCGTCGGAAACAATCGTAGTACCTGCGGCTACATTATTTGCTATAATTGGGAGAAGTGTATAAGCTGTGCTAGCAGCAATATGGAAGAAACGGACTTTATTAGTTCCTCGCTCGCCCATACCAAACACCCAGTCGTATTGACGCATTAACATATTTGTATTATACTTAGCGAATTTTGACGACTTATCAACTTCTGCCACGCGACCTAACATTGAATTAACTTGAACTCTCGTTGCGCATCCCTAACAGATTATAAATTATTTTTAAAAAATCTCTGTTAGCCTAAGCAAGCTCTTGAGCAAATTCGTTTCCTAATTATTCTTAAATGAATCTCTGTTAGCCATTGAGCAAGAATTTATTTTTTACTGGACGAATAAAATTTATTTGGACGCATAAACTTTGATTGGACGTATAAATATTTGATTGGACGTATAAATTTTTATTGGACGCATAATCTTTTCATTGGACGTATAAACTTTGATTGGACGTATAAAAGTTGATTGGACGCATAATAGTTGATTGGACGTACATATATTGTGTAATAGAGCCAAAAATTTACCCAAATGATAGCTCATTCGAAAGAGCTCGTCGAGCTGAGTCGAATGACACCAGAATCAACGTGATTAGACATGGTTTGACAAAGTTATGACCGTAGACCTAATGGAGTCGACGACTTATGTCATAACTCTGTCAAATCTTGTCCAATCGCGTTGATTTTTGTGTCATTCTACACAGCTCGACGAGAATGAGGTATCATTTCTATGAATTTTGGTCCCCATGGTTTTTCGCTCTTATGGTTGTTCAATTTTCAGGAGTCTGTATCTCGGTCAAATCAGGTCCGATTTTTTCGATTTTGGTGTCATTCGACACGACTCGACGAGTTCTATAACTTAAGTTTGACTGAACATTTTGTAATACATTGAGGAAGGAAAAAGGAGGGGGGTACGAAATTGAATTTTACCATAGTAAGTGCCTAAACCTTAGCTTTTTTTAATTTTAAAAATGTAGATTTCATTTTTAAATATTATCAAACAAGAATATTCAACGATTTTTGTTTAGTATTAAAATTAAAAAAATTTTCGGCCTAACTACAGTTTCCGGATCAGGCTCAGAATTGGACGATTTATATGTCATTCGAAAGAGCTCATCGAGCTGAGTCGAATGGCACCAAAATTTTTCCGCGGAAAAAATTCGGAGCCGAGATATAGGGCTCGAAATGGTCAAAAACCATAGGGGGGAGTAAGCTCATTTTTGGGGTGAAAAATTCAATTTTACAAATAATAGCTCATTCGAAAGAGCTCGTCGAGCTGAGTCGAATGACACCAAAATCAGCTCGATTGGATGATTATGAACAAAATTATGACCAACAGAATCTTCGCTGGAAAAACTGTTTTTGTGCTGCTACGGAGGGTAGGCCGGGCATGGTCTTCGCTACACGATGGCCGTGCTTCGCTGCGGTCGTGCTCGCTGCGCTCGCGGCGACCGTAGCGAAGCGGCGGCCGTCGTTCCGCTCGACATGCCCGGCTTCCTCCGCAGCTGCAAAAACTTTTTTCCGCGAAACCCTTGTGGAAGGGGCTAAAACAAACGGTCATAACTTTGTCAAATGACGTCTGATTTCATTGATTTTGGTGTCATTCGACTCAGCTCGATGAGCTCTTTCGAATGAGGTATAATTTGCATATTCGAATTTTTCACCCCCAGAAAACAGCTTGGTCCCCCCTATGGTTTTTTGAAATTTAGGAGTCTGTAACTCGGCTCAGAACTTTTTCCGCTGAAAAATTTTGGTGTCATTCGACTCAGCTCGACGAGCTCTTTCGAATGACATATAAATCGTCCAATTCTGAGTCTGATCCGGAAACTGTAGTTTAGCCAAATTTTCGCCTGTGGTACTAAAAATGTAAGAATGTAGGCTTTCAAAAATTTTTAAGTAGAAATTACGTGATCCGCAAAGGCGCATGCCGGATCTGTAAAATGTGATTTCAGACTCATGGATATTAAAGAATTTTAAAATTTTTGCCTGTGTCACTGTAAATGAAAGAAATCTGTCTTTTTGTCATTCTAAAATACTCAAAATTTTTGCCTGTAGCGCTAAGAGGCCTCATTTGAAAACTATTGTGGTATTCGAGGAATGTGAGTGATTAATGCCCAGATATCTTCTAATATCCGCCAAAATCTCTGATATCCCCTCAATCTCTTTAAATCTCTGATAATCCTTTAATATCTTCCTTCAATTCTTTGTTCAATATTTATAATCACTTATATTCCTTGAAACCGCCCTTAATCCCGCAAAATCCACTTATATCCACAGATATACCTTTTAAACCCTTTAAATCCCTTCAAATCCAATTAATCTAAATTTTTGAATAAATTAACGAATATAGACCGAAACGTATTATTTTTGGAGAATTTTTTTAACTTATTTGGACTAACAAATGATAAAATTCTGTAAGGGAAGATAGTTAAAAAATTTGTATTCATTAGAAGGTATTTGCATTTATTATATAAATACTTTTGCGTCGCGACTTATGCGCCCGACTTTTGCGCCCCCATTATTTTGAAAAAATAAAATAATAACACAATCGGACCTGTACCCCTTGGATTATAAAAATGGTATCCAGGAACTGAAGATTTATGTAGCGGCGTAAAAGTCGCGGCGCAAATGTTCACGTAGCAAAAGTCACGGAACCCATTAGAAAGGGCATATTCTAGTATATCATCCAAAAAAGAAAGTAGACCTATAACTTACCGTATTTACTCAATTAATTCCCCTGGGGAATTATTTTTCCAACCTATCCGTGGCATGGGGAATTATACAAGGGAGGGAAATTATTTGAGTTTTGAAATTTGAAGTTGTAGTAGGGTATTTGGGGGAGGGGGATTATTGTTTCAACTCATCCGTAGCAGGGAATTATTCGAGAGAGGGGAATTATTCAAGGGAGGGGAATTAATCGAGTAAATACGGTAAATACTTCCGAAGTTATACTGTATAGAAAAAATATTATCAGTGTATAAACTTTTTTACATAAAAAAGCTTTAATTCAATCGAGTTAAAGCTTTACATTTTTGGTTTGATATTATTCTTAGCTATAATTTATAGTTCGCGGAAACAAAATTTTTAATCGTATTTGTAAAATTCATATGGATTCTTAAAAATAAAACGGTTTATATATTTTATTGTTTACTGTATATTTATTTTATTTGATAAAAAGTTGCTTTACATTATGGGCTAGAAAGAATATTTTTAGTTTTTGATTTAAGAGTTTTAAATGAAATCTGCTCAAGCAATTCAGTAGCATTGAGTAACATCTTGCTAATATAATACGCCTTCTTTTGTTCTTTAATGTATATAGCTGGAGCTAAATTAAGAAGAATAGACTTATGCTCTGATGCAAACTTTTGTTTCGTTTCGTCCGAAAATAATTTGGAGTTTCGCCCAGGTCTGGTTGCGATTCAGCTCGTCAAGGTGCATCGAACAATACCAGGACACCCCAGATTCGACAATTCTGAACGACGTTACAGCTCTGCGGTACATTAGGCTTGCGGCACCTTGGGGTGTACCCATCTAATACACTGTCTAAGCATTATTTTTTAAATAGATAAAAATAACTGTCCTTTTAACCCAAGTTGTTTTTATAATAAATTATTTAATTTTTATTTGATCTTGATTTTTAGAATTTACGAGACAAGCGTTAAAATTCGGTACGGTTAAACTTGCTAAAATGGGCTCAGCGGCTCTCGGGGGTTTACCATTTGTTGGAGATTTTCTTGCTGAAGGGGCCGACACCATAGCGGAGATTGGAGTCAAATTAGCAGAGAAGGCATGCAGAGATGCGAAAAGAGCCGGTTCTGTGTGGTACTTTGATGGATCAGATTTCGAGAAAATGGGTTCTACAATTAAAGAAACAATGGATAAATTAATTGGTTAATTTGTAAATATTCATTGAATTATACTAAAAAATTATTTTATATATATCCAAATTATATATTTTTTTAATCTTTAAAAATGATAAAATTAAATAACATTAATTAGATTACAAATTTTAAATTTATGTTGTACATAATTTAGAAAAAATCCTATCCAATTCTAGCAAAAGCCTTCAATATTTTAAAAGGTTTTTAAGTTTCTCCTATTAAGTAACATTATTTTTAAAAATTAAACCGTAAATATCAGCATCTTTTAAATAGAGAGAAAAACTTGTGATCATACTTTTAGTAAAAAAAGTTAAAGACTTTAAGAAATAAAAATCTTAAAAAACTACATATGCAAAATTAGAAAAATCGTTTGAAAAATGTGACATAATCGAAATAATGTCAAAAATGCGGCGCTGAAAATGGAAGAAGTATGCAGTAAAAAACTCAGCTCGACGGATTCTATAAATTAAGACAAACTGACCATTTTTTAATACTTTTAGGAAGGAAAAAGGAGAGTGGGGGGGGGGAGGGGGTACGAACCAAACTTTTACCTAATTCTATTAAAAATTTGATCTGTTCTTTAAAATAAGAATTCTGTTCAAAAATTTGATAGCAGACATAAATCTAAAAAACCCTTGTTTTCAATTAGTGTTGCGCCCGACCCTGTACCCCGAACCACGTTGCAGAAAGATTATTCTGAGATTATCCCCGACCCGGATCTCGCCCAAAAAATTAAAACCCCGTCCGCCGACCCGAAAATTTTTGAGGTTTTCGGGGTATACTAGACATAAAATGCCAGTTTTTATGGGAATGGATGGAAGATGCAATAAAACCATCATAGTAAGGGTAAATTCAATTTCGTACCCCCCTCCTTTTTCCTTCCTCAATGAATTACAAAATGGTCAGTCAAACTTAAGTTATAGAACTCGTCGAGTCGTGTCGCATGACACCAAAATCGAAAAATCGGACCTGATTTGACCGAGATACAGACCCCTGAAAATTGAACAACCATAGGAGTGATTTTTTGGAATAAAAAAATTTGGCTCTATTACACAATATACGTCCAATCAACTATTATGCGTCCAATCAGCTTTTATACGTCCAATCAAATTTTATACGTCCAATGAAAGTTTATGCGTCCAATTAAAAGTTTATGCGTCCAATCGAACTTGTACGTCAAATCACATTTTTAACCGTCGGAAACAATCGTAGTACCTGCGGCTACATTATTTGCTATAATTGGGAGAAGTGTATAAGCTGTGCTAGCAGCAATATGGAAGAAACGGACTTTATTAGTTCCTCGCTCGCCCATACCAAACA